AGTTTCATGGTAAATCACAACATGCTTAAGATCTCTCTCTGCCACCTCCAGTGGATTGTTTTTTTCTTCCTATCCCGTCTTTCCCACCATCTTATGACAGGTGAAAAGTCTCTAAACTGACAGATGACTAAAGAGAAGAAGCAGCTGAACTATGGCACACACAATCCATGCGCTCCACGTGCAAACCAACATGCACGACAAATGGCACAACGGGGTCAGACATAACACTGGGTCAACAAATGGTGTGTTTGTTTATCTGATTATCAGATGTTATAAACTTATACAATATTCGATATTTGACACACAATATTAATTTACCATTAATGGGGAAGGAAATGCTTTCCACATGTTCATTAGACATTAAAAATGAATGCAAACAACTTGTTTGTTCACAATTAATCTTGTGTTTAATTGCTACCTAATAATAATAATTTAGGGCCCCTATGAAATCAAGTTTATTTTTTCCTATATTTTGTTTTCCCATTTAGTTTTTTCTGGATTGCATGTTTTCTAATTTAATACAAATTTATCATCAAAAATGGTGTCAATTGTCACGAATTAATAAAACTTCTGTTTGAAGTTTTATTAATTCATGTCATTAGACAAATTTTTGATGATAAATTAAACTTCTAAAATGTAATCAAATGAAAACCATATAATTTAATTAATTTACAGCAAAATATTTGTTTCGTCTGTCTAAATATATAAACATAAATATGAATTGAAACAAATTGTAACATGGAACCATACATTTAAACAAATCAAAAATATTTTGGTTATAGGATATTCCTTAAAAATAATATTATTATTACTTTGAGAAGTACATTTTAGTATACAACAGTAATATATTTCTGTCATAATTTCTTCAAGTTAAACCGAACTTTCATTTTGGTGGTTTGTCATTAAGATCTTTGAGTTCCAGTGTGTATTCAGAGGTAGTTTTTCTCAAATGAAACCGTGAAAAGTTTGTGAAGTGAATCTCAGCTCTGTAGATCGTTTTATTTCTGACTTACTCTAGAAAGTGAAGTGACGTGTGGCCCATACTCGGAATTTGTGCTCTGCATTTAACCCATCCAAGTGCACACACACACCGTGAACACACACCCGGAGCAGTGGGCAGCCATATTGCTGCGGTGCCCGGGGAGCAGAAGTGGTTCGGTGCCTTGCTCTATGGTCTCACCTCAGTCGTGGTATTGAGGGTGGAAGAGAGTGCTGGTTATTCACTCCCCCAACCGACAGGTCCTGCCGGAACTGAGACTATAACCCGCAACCTTCGGGTTACAAATCTGACTCTCTAACCATTAGGCCACGACTGCCCCTCTATATGCTTGCGCTACTTCAGACAACAGGACAAATGGATTTGGAACTGTGCAGATAACCGTGTAGACAGCCTTAAAGGGTTAGTTCACCCAAAAATGAAAATTAGGCTGCGTTTTACTCACCCCCGAGGCATCCTAGGTGTATATGACTTTCTTCTTTCAGATGAATCCAGTCGGAGTTATATTAAAAATTGTCTTTGATCTTTCAAGCTGTTTAATGCCACTCAGCGGGTGTTGCATTGCTTCAGTCCAAAAGAAGTTAAATAAAAAGCGCCCATCCATCAAAAGAAAAAGTGTCTCACACGGCTCCGGGGGGGTGAACAAAGGCCTTCTGTAGCGAATCGATGCGTTTTTGTAAGAAAAATATCCATATTCAAAACGTAATAATCACTTAGCCGTGTGAGACACTTTTTTTATGGATGGGCGATTTTTATTCTTTTATTCTAGTTCTTTTGGACTGATGCATGCAACACCTGCTGAGTGGCATTAAACAGCTTGAAAGATCAAAGACAATTTTTAATATAACTCCGACTGGATTCGTCTGAAAGAAGAAAGTCATATACACCTAGGATGCCTCGGGGGTGAGTAAAACGCAGCCTAATTTTCATTTTTAGGTGAACTAACCCTTTAAGGGCATGTAGACATGGTGACAGCCTTTCAAAAGATTTTTGTTGTTTTATCTCTCCCGTTTCTTTTAGTTAAACCATGAACAGTGCTGCAATCTTGTGGACAAATGAATTGGCGCCAAAAAAATTAAAGGCGCATGTGCGCATAGTATGCGCATAGCCCGATTTTCCCAACTGCATGTACCATACTGATGACAAAATTTAAGTCATGTGCAGGTCACTCTGGTATGTAAAAGACCTTCTCTGATTGGCTAAACTCATTTCTCAAAAGTATTTTTACATTGTAGCATTGTTTAATTTTTGATTCTGACTGCATATGAAATTGGAAAACTTCCAAACTAACAAAACTTTTCTTGCAAAATAGCTTTCAATATCTATACTATTGAATCTATGGTATCAAATATATGGCATACTACCAATATACTAGACTTGTGCCGGTATTCGGTAATGCGATATATCACGGTAATGAATATGCACGATATTGTTATCGTGAGCACTTCTAAATACCGTGAATAATTATATATTACAAATTATTCAAAATTTTGAATGCATTTTAAGAATACTTTTCCCATAATGAGCTAACATGAACTAAGACTTGTATTTTTTAAACAAAGATTAATAACTTCTGTAGCAAATGTAGCTATTGCTCATTGTGAATGTTAATGCATTAACTAAGGTTAACTAATGAGGTCTTATTGTAAAGTGATACCTATTGGTCTTTATAGTTCTTTTGCACTTTAATCTGTGTAAAACTTTTAATTTTATACATTTTTCTGTATTGCTTTATTGCATTTAAATGTTCAGTTATTTTTGTTATAAGAAAAAAGTTATTAAACCTGTTATACTGTATTATGGCTTTTTTTTTTATACTAAATTTCAATATCGTGATAATACCGTATACCATGATAAAAGCATTAGCAATTAATCGCAACATGAAAATTTGATACCGGTATATCCCTACGATATACATTAAATTAATTTGCATGTATTATTCAATGAACATGGCACAAGCTTCACAAGTCTCAAATAGAAGCTGGGCCTTTGAATAACCTCATTCCCTGCATTCATGACCATTTCAGGCCAAACACAACAGGTTATTTGGGCCCATAACTGTCATAACCCATTGACTTCTCTCATATTACATCCCGACCACATTTCAGCATGTGCATGATGACATTTTGGCCTTACGTTTTCCTGGAAGACAAAGCAGCTGAGGAGCGCAGTGGCCTGCTCCGCCGTCAGGTCGTTGAACAGCCCGTTAAACACCATCTCTGTCAGCAACAGCTCATCTGCACTGCAAACACACAAGAACACCACAGGATGGTTTAGAAACGAGCCCGAGTGTTGTAAATAACAGCTGTCTGAGTAAAATTTTGTTTTGTTTGCTTTTAATGCATGTCTTTTAGCTGGAATTGTTTAGAACAAGGACTTGTGAATGTGAACACAAAATATAATTGAACGACAACCGTGCTTATTTTTGTTTTCTTGGTAACCAACCTGCTGATCTCACAGGCCACACGGCCTTTCATCTCGATGACATCAGAGGAAGTGGCGAATCCCAGGCGCCGCAGCACACGCTTCCTGCACTTCAGCTCGTCCATCTGCAGCACGGTACGTGCTTTCTTTAGCTCACGCTTCGCCGCTTTAATGTCGCCTGCAATCTGAAACACAAGCACATTGACAGTAAGAAAAGACATACTTCCTGTTTTAAATGTGATTTAACACATCAGAAATGTTACCCAAACATACATTTCAAAGATGCATGTTCCAGGAAGAAACAAAACAGCAGATACTCACAGTCACAACACACCTGTCGCACACTCATGTACACCCTTAAAGGTTTCCACAAACAAACGACATCTGTAAACATGCACTTGAACGTGTAAGGTTAAAACCTTTGCGTGTAACGCATTAAAACAACCTTGATGAAGGCATCACAGAAAACATGGCTGAAGCTAGGGCTGGGACAATAAATCGATGCATCGCGTTTCGTGGATCGATTTGAGATTTTCTCTCTCGAATCGATTCTGAGCTTAGTTTTTAACAGCAGATGGTGCTCTAGGCTAGTTTTTAACCGCACACTCAAATGCTCACGAAGAAGAGCGCTTGTGCGTTCGGCTGAGTAATGTAAGTGGTTAAATGTACTTGCACATCGGCTTTTATGCTTTTATGATGGGAGATTAATGTAAGCACAGCCCACTGTGAACATCCTTGTAATTCGCTTCAACCTTTTCGAACTTTATGATTGATTATTTTAGGTTCAAATGGTGTACGTGTAAGGAACTGGAAGCAAGCAGAATTCGGCTATTTCTAAAGCACGCAGTGCCATCTGCTGTTAAAAACTAAGCTCAGAATCGATTCAAGAGAGAATCGCGATGCCTTTGGAAAATCTCAGAATCGATGCAGAATAATTTCTCGATTCGCGATGCATCGATTTATTGTCCCAGCCCTAGCTGAAGCATAATGTTTTAATGCACTGACTTTACACTGTTACAACACCATACCAAGCCAGTGAGGAGATAGTGCCACCATCTGTCTAAAGTGAACAAAACATGGGCAAAAATTTGTCTAACTTAGGAATAACTTAGACAAGTCATGTGACTTAATTCAAACTATTTCTGGGGACTGCAGAATACTGTTTTTACTCAAGATCATTCATTACCTTCTACGTCATTTAGAGTGGATTCATGTGCAATTACTACTCTTTCTTTAAAAGAAAAAAGTTAACTAGTCTTTTTACTGTACAACATCAGCAATTCTGTTGGGTATTTATGGAGATGACGACGACGACAAGCAGGAAGTGGGTCTCCATTTCAAAAACACTTGACACATTTGTCATTAGTATTTAGAGTTATTTTAGTATTATTTATATAAAATTGTAGTATTTAATACTTTAAATTAGCTTCTGTTTTTAGATTTTCAGTTTCCATTTCAATTTTTTTCATAAATTTCATTAATTTTATGTACTTGTCATTATTATTAGTTTGTTTTAGGTTAGTTTGTTAATCGTTTCCTCGATTAAATTTGAGTATTCGATAAAAAACAAACCAGCCTTGATTGCATTAACTGGCAAAATCCCACGGACGAGAATCCAAGAAAAGCATTATTAGACCATTTTCTAAGGCTGCATGATGTATTAAATCATTTAAAAATCATAATAAAGTATAGTGCTATTGTGAATTCACAAAGGCTGCGATTCAATTAAATAAATATATGCACTGTGGGTTTAGTATGCACAAAAACATATGATTACTTGCGTTTGATATTTTATTTGAACCAATTATTATTGCCTCATTGCTATTATACATGTATTTTAAGTCTAATAAAGTCTATTGTTTGCTTGGGTCTATTTTTATTACTACAAAAAATTATATGATTACTTGATTAAATCAACAGAATAATCGACTGATTACTCGATTACCAAAATAATCGTTAGTGACAGCCCTAGTCTGTTTTTAAATTTTTTTCACTTTAGCTTTTTATTTCAGTTTTAGTCATTTTAGCATTTCAACTTAAAAATAAAATGTAAACGGTGCCTTGAGGAGTAATTGAAAAAGTTTTTCATCTAATATTTTTCTTCAACTTTATTTTGAATAATGACAACATTTTTTATAGTTTTAGTAAACAATAATACTGAAAATACCACTCATACACTTGGCTGCAGCATTACCTACTAGTCAAAAGTTATGAATGGTGTATTAAAAGGATGGTTCACCCAAAACTGAAAATTATATTGACAGTAAGGTTAAACAGTGTTGGCCCACTACACTGCAGCTGATTCACCCCTTACAAGACTCACTGTCTGAGTGGCTCTAATGCCATTATCCACTTTAAGGCTTATCTGAGATCTTTCTAAAGTGATTCAGACACAGACTGAAAACAGGACACTGAGAAGAGCTAAACTGTTTTCAAGCAAAAAGGGCAAGAATCTCACTCCTCCAGAAACCACATCCAACAATCAACAATACATACTTCAGCATTCAATAATCATGCTGTTTTGTGTATTGCTAATGCTAATGTGTCGTCTAAATGCTATGTCCTACACTGACGCCTACAACTAGGGCATGAGCTCAGTGAACAATTGCGCCACTTAATAAACCAGAAAATATTTTCCTATCCTAGACAAGACTAAAATGCATTCAAATCAAAAACATTTTGTTTTACAATAGGTGACAAATATTATAATTAAAATTATTTAATTATATTTTAAATATTTAGTATATAATTCAGGCATTAAATATTTTAAATATAAAGCAAATAATTGTAAATATCCAAATAAGAGAAATATAATAAGCAATGTAATTTATACAGTAAATAAGTATCACAAAATTTTAGAATATTTAAGTATTAAAAACAAATACTGCATTAATATTAGAAATAATATAATTTACATATAAAATATATATTTTAATACAATGTTTGTGTGTGTGTGTATAAAAACAACAACAACAACAACAACACATTTGTTAACACATAAATTGAACATTTTATACTTTCCAATCTAGCCTGTTAGGAAATTTTCTTGGCCGCTATGAAGGTTTAGTTCTGGGGTTACTCCCTGTAGATCTTTATAAGACAGGGTTGATCTAACCAAAGGTCTAATCTGGTTTGGAGGGATATCCCAAGTCCCCATAATGCATCTGACCATTTCATTCCATAACATGCACACCCAACAACAAATATAACCCATGCACAACTCCTGCAGGGAACCTATTAAAACAAAAACACTTATCCCCTTAATGCCCCTGCACAATGTGAGCGATTATGGGGCCGCATGATTGTTTGTGATCTGATTTGAGTGCCTATTCACCCTGCACAAATGTCAGTTTCCCGCTTTTGTTTAGTTCTAGTGGACCTTCAAGATTTCAGCCGCAGGAAATGACATCCACCCCTTCTGGTGCGCCTTAAACAATAGAGCCATATTTTAAATGACATTTGCGACTCCTGCGCTGACCAGAAAAAGGTTGCGTCTATGAAAAGAAATGACATTTATATCAATCCCGCCATGACTTCTGCACATTCACTCATCCTATAGTGGACTCACCAGCGCTTTCTTCTCACACAGAGTGTAAACGGCCTCCAGGTTGGGGTCACTGTGCAGGGGGTGCGTGTACATCCTGTGCTCGAACGCCTCCACCTTCTGAATGACCTTCTTCAGCGCTGGATCCTTGATACCCATGTCGTCTATGGGATCTAGCAGAGGAATGCCATCTGGGAAACGTTTCTGGACCTCCTGGAAACCACAACCAGAAGCAGTCATGTGTTTTTATCTTTAAAACCTTTGAAATTATTATAATCACCACCATTCAACACCTTCCATTAGGAGATCAGTTGAGATGGACCACAGAAAAAAAAATAAAAAAATCACACGGCCACTCCTAGAGATTATTGTCCTCAACTGCCTTTAGAACAGACCGGTGAAATGTAAAGGAAGTGTGTGATTGTGCAGGGAAAGGTTCAGAATTACAAGATTAAGACACATCTGTACTGTTACTCCATGCAGAGCATAACAAATTACTTAATTTATTATAGTGTAGTATGTGAGGCAGTACGCAGACAGTAATAATATGCTACAGTGTCACATGACGTTCATTTGTTAGCCATTTCTTACAAGGCTTCTGCAGGTTTATGGAGATAAATTTAAGACTTCAAGACTACCATTTTAAGCAAAGATAACAAGGAATAAACTGAAGCGTTGCTAATAAAGACACATTTATAGACCATAGCGACATGTGTATGTGTATATATATCGGGGCTCGCAAAATCGCTAGCCCGATGTCCCGGGGCTATTGTGTTTTCCAGTCGGGCTACCAAAATGCATCACTGCCCTTGCCGACGGGCTATCTTGAACAGTGATATAAAATTTCTTCCTTGATTTGCGTTGTTCACTAGCTTGCAGGGGTAAAACGAATCATAGTTGATCGTTTGCACGTGTTTCTAAGTCTTGCCGATTTAAACATTTAAGTGTTTTAATCCATTCACGCACATTCGGAGCTGCGCGCACAGAGAGTCGCATTTCAGACAATGCGCATACACAGAATTGATTCCTCTTTCGCGTATCCTTGCATCCGTGGCCGCGTTCTTCACGCTGTCTTTGCTGCAGTGGAGCAGAACCTCCACCACAAATAACGGCTCAGCATCCCCAACTGCAGCCTACAACAGAGACATCACATTTTTTTGTGTCATAATCCAGTCATAATCCAGTTTTTCACAAAATGTCCACTTTACAAATGAAGTCGTTCAGGTTTTTGTTTGCTGCTGGCAAATTAATAACCAAGCGTTGATGTATTCATGTCATCATGACTGATGTCAGAAACCCCAAGGTTCAGAATGAGTCATTTTTGCAGCTTAGTTTCATAAAATGTTTTTTTGTTTTTCACTTGGAAGTCTTGAGTTCTGCAAGTCACAATGTAATAAGATGAAGTATAATTTGATTCCTCAAAATATATGACCCCTTGTAATACATTTGAGTTGGGCGCTTTAAGCACAAAAAGCATATGGCAATACCTTGACATTTGTCTTCTTTTGGAAATTGACGACTATACCCCAACCGAAATCCAGATCTTCTTTTTTCACCTGGATATGAAAAACCAAAAGAGTGTTTAGCATTTTCAGTGTCTCAACAAACCAAGAAAACCAAGCCTGTGAAGGCTACACCTTCCAACAAAAGTTGTTAGTTTAAATTTGGATGACACATTAACTGTATTTGTGTGCAGAGAAAGAGCTGCTGGACACTTACCCTGACCAGTCTGCCCGGCTGTAGGAAAGGCAGGCAGTATCTAGGTTTGTGAATAAATTCCTCAATTTCTTTGCCCAGTTTGGCCAGCTGCTGACGGATCTTGTAGTAGGTCACCACGCTCTCTTCATTAGGGATTCGTATTGCATTATACCCCTCCTCCAGCTTTTTCATCTCTGTGGGAATCACAGAAACAGAAATGAAGATAGGAATGATATAAATAACATCCAATAGACAACCCAATCACTGGTTATATGTGCAAGCAAAGCCAGTTTTAACTGAATTTTAACAGTTGAGTTGTTCTAAACCCACAACCAACAGGCTTTTCTATGAAACGCAAAAGAAAATATTTTGACGAATGTTTCCTGCTGCTCTTTTACAATGGTGAATGAACAATCAACAATTACAGAATTTGAACTATGTGAAAGATTCCTTTAAATCATAATAGTTCTTACTCTCCACAACACCAGGCACGGCTCTATAGTGCTGGAACTGGTAGAAGGATTTCTCCAGCATGTACTCTGGGTTGATCTCCTCCACACGCAGTAGATTGAGCACCATGTTGTAGGTCAAGTGGAACGCACTGTTCAGAGGATCCGCCGAACCCTACAGGAATAAAAGATGCTACTGAATAAATCATCAATATGACATGAATCCAACACAATCCACTGACACCCATATGGTGCGAGGAAGATGAGGTAAAACGTTTTCTGCAACAATAGGGCTGGGAGATATCAGATATTGTCAAATGGTTAAATGTATCTTCAAATGCATGTATTTGTTCTAAAAAATGTCTTAGATGTTTTTTCCTCAGAGAAATCCTAATTTCTCCTAAACAGCCACTGTTTTAAAATAGATTCAAAATGTTTAATTGAAATAAAAATACTCAAGGTATGTATTTAACAAATAAGATTCATTTACTAATTTCAATTTATTCAGTGTACTAATATGATATAATAAAAATATCAATATATTACCATCATGAAGTTTCAACAAATTTTTACACTGCATCAACGCATGAAAAATGACATGCAAAAACATTCATGAACATTTCAAGTAAAGACACAAATGAATAGGTGAATCAGAATTTTGAATCGACTCCCTGAAACAGTTTGAACTGATTCACAGAAAAACAGTTTTAATACTAAAGTATCAGATGCTACTAAAACATCTTACTGCTATTAAAATGTCTTAAAGGGGTCATATGATGCGATTTCAAGTTTTCCTTTCTCTTTGGAGTGTTACAAGCTGATTGTGCAGAGAGAGAGAGCGAGCAAGAGCGCGCGAGAGAGCGAGCAAGAGAGCGCGCGAGAGAGCGAGCGAGAGAGCGAGCGATTATGGTAAGGGGCGTTACATTTCTGACGAGTGCTTGCGGTCAAATTAAAAGCTTACTAGAACCATTGCAATATTTTATCTTCATATTTGATAATACAGTAGCAGCAAAATCAAACATAATGTGAATATTCAATAATCACCGGAGTTGCCAGGTTTTCACAGCAAAGCCCGCCCAATTGCTACTTAAAACTAGCCCAAAGCTAGCCCCATCGCATTCAGGGGGGGGGGGGG